CTCATAAATCTGAAGTTTAGTGTCAGTCTATTGGGCTAACGAGCTCAGTCACAAATCTAAGTGTGGTAAGTGTCAGTTTACTGATATAAGTTCTGCTGGGCTAACTTGTAAATCTAAAGTTTAGTGTCAGTTTACTGGGCTAACAAGCTAACTCGTAAATCCAAGCTCAACAAATGTCAGTAATGTGATCTGTTCCGAATTGATAAGCTTCAGTGTACTGATTTCTTGCTTTTTGTTGTTTGAGCCTTATTGGCTAATAGCCCATACTTGTAATTAACCTTATAAAACCTCATGCACACGTCTTGGAGGTGCTCAGAGCTTCGGAGCAGAAGTCCCTCTGAGCCCGCCAGAGTAATAAATCTGAGTACTCCAACCCTCCGAGTGGTGCTTGTTTCTTGGCTGGCCTGTCATTTCTGTAACAAAACAAGCAAGTGAAAAGTCATGTTAAAGAGCAGAATGTACAGATAATCCAATTTTATTAAAAAAAATCAATACATTTCCCACCTATATCATACAGTAGGGGCTAATGAATATTTTATCATGTGTGTGAGGATTTGTAAATATACTTGTAGCACCTTTTCGGTATGTGAATTGTGTTTGATTCTTTGGTGAGAGGAGAGCAGAGTTTGTGGCATAAAAATAAATTTTGCCCTTGCTGGTCCCTCTGCCTGGAGAGCTCCTTCCCCAGATGCTCCTTCCCCGGTTTGCTTGCTGTCTTTATCTAGGGCACAGTTTCAGTGCCACACCTCCAAGAGACTTCCTCCATCATCCTTTCTAAATCAGCACCTCCATCCAGCCCTCTTTCCTATAATGCTTGAGTCTTTTTCATAGTTCTTACCACTTACCGACATTATATTACATTTCCATTTGTTCTGTTTGTCTGGGAGAGTAGACTTTGTTCTTTACTGTTGTATCCTCAGTGTCTTAAATATGGCCTTGCACAAGGGTAGGTGCTCAATAAATCTGCAGAATGACTAAAATGTAACAAAGGTGTCCATTCTTCTCTGTCCCCAGCTCAGGGTGCCCTGCCTAGGCAAACTCTAAAGTCCGAGCATAGTCCTCCCCACTCCCACCAAGGCTCCGGAGGTCACCTTAGAGCAGCAGCTTTCAAACTTTTTTGACCATGACCTTCAGTAAGAAATACATTCAACCCAGTGCTCACATCTGCACATGTATACGTAGCTGCAACAAACTAAAAACCCTTACTATGAGCAATGCTTTCTACTTAAAAAAAAAAAAGATGCTGGTCTCCATTCTTTGAATAGATTTCTCCACCTACTAATGGGTTACCAGTGCCTTCAGGCAGTGTTTCTAGGAGCAGAGGGCTCCTTTGTTTCCTAGTCTCAGGATAACTGCCACAAACGCAGATTCCCGGGTCCACGCCAGACTTTGTGAATGAGAATCTTCCTGGAAAGACTGCATGCTTAACCACCCCTCTCCCCCACCACCCCAGGTGATCCTGAAGCCTGTTAAAGCTTGAGGGTCACCACTTGGGAGTTTATGAGCATCCTGAGGCTTCACGTGGGGACCTGTGCTGGGCAGGGTTTGATGCACATTAAGGGAAGGGGCTGATTCTCCAGTTCCAGTCCAGTTCAGCCCTGAGTGGTGGAATGGATGATCTCAATTTTATAAAAGTAAATCCACTCCCACCTAAGCCCCTTGCACTCTCTAGTCCCTCTGCCTGGGAGCACTTCCGGTGATTTTGCCAC